TAAACATTGCATTTTGCATTCAAACCAATTCATCACACATAACAGCATGCAAAATATTACCTATAAAAATAAAGCCTAGCTTACTTAACTTACATTAGGATCCGATGTGATCAATCGGAAGGCCTCTGTCACCTGTTTGGACGTAGCTCCGCCTCCAACGTCTAGAAAGTTTGCTGGCTGTCCACCATGTAATTTGATAATATCCATTGTGGCCATAGCTAAACCAGCACCATTTACTAAAATAAAGCATGCCAGGAATGTTAAAAATATAAGATATGATTAAAATTCTGCATTTTGTTATTCATTTATTTCCAGGCATATTTCCAGACAAAATTAAGCAATTTTTAAGCATATTCTTTTAGAGTGTGACCAATTCAAGAACTTTTGTATCATTTTATAGCTTCAAGAACTTTTTTATCATTTTATAGCTTCAAGAACTTTTTTATCATTTTATAGCACTTTTTCGAAACAGAACTAGGAAAAGGTCTGGACACTAAAGAATCTTACCAAGACAGCCTATACTTCCGTCTAGACCAATATAGTTAAGATCTGATTTAGCGGCACTCTGTTCTCTTGGATCTTCTTGTGTCCAGTCTCGTAATTTATATATATTTTGTTGTCTATATGCAGCATTATCGTCAAAATTTAGCTTGCAATCCATACAATATACTGAAAACATACAACATAAAATATATCAAACTAATTATACCCTCAGTCATTTTGGTATATGGACTTGCTTGTCTTGCATTCGCATATTGGTCCTTTTTGGTTAAAGTGGTTTGGCATTGTGGCTAAAGTTATTAAAATTGCCAACATCATATCACTTTTGTTTTACTGTCACAGGTTCAAATCCCTTTAAACAATCAATTGCCTGATGTGATATATATTTAAACATATTTTATTGCCAAAAATAAGACATATGATATACATACATGTAGACAGTTACAATACAATGACATGACATATTTGGCAAAAGGGTTGACCCACAAGTTCTCTCAACATTAGCAGCGAGTCTTCCCTGATGTGAGTAGGATGTCCAATACTTTATGGAAAGTCAATGGTTCTTATCAAGAGCTTAAATGTTCCTAAAATGATGCCTTTAAAGTGTATAAAGTTAAAACTCTACTGCCTACTGTTTACAAAATTTTTGTTTGCATTTTTAAACAAGGGTGCCATTGTCACAAAATACGCCCGTTTACGAAAGCTTTAGATGGAGATGGGGGCATTATGGATAAGTGTTATCTAGCAAGCAAGTTTTTATCCTTGGCACTGTGTTGTTAAATGAACCTTAAAACAAATCAGTAGGGAAGATAAAAAGTACATGTAATTGTAATTTAATAACTAAAAAATTCTGATTTAAGATTTTATTCTAGGGAAATACATTTCATTACAAAATTCTTAATCTTTGAATGAGCTGAACTGATATTTTACTTGAAAATAAAATAGTAATTAAATTTCTATGAGAAGTATTTACATTTGATAAGGTAATTACTGTATGATCTTTATGAACAAATACCAAGTCTATAGAACACCTAGTTATCACAGTTAAGAATCTTGACCAATGAATTGAAACATGTGTAAATAAATGTTACATTCTTTAGAACATACTCAAGTCCAAGAAAGAGGATTATTTATGCCCTTTGATTAAATTCTATTTTTAGAATTGAAAGTGAAAGTAGATCAAGGGGAGTAATTGTGTAGTCATTTATGAACAAAGTAATAACTTTGTTGTTGCCCTTTGATTAAATTCTATTTACAAAATCTGGATATTTCATCCATCTTTAGTGACCTTGACCTTGTATAATATTGACCTTAATTATATGTATCACAGCCATACGTCTTGATAATGACCATTTGTGTTACAATCCCTCAATCAAATGATGACTAAATGGTCCATATACACATCTTCATATTTTTATCTGAACTTTGACCTCTATGTGTGACCTTGACCTTGGCCGCAAGGACCTGAATCTTGCATGCGACACTCCGCCTCAACAATGGTGAACATTTGTGCCAAGTAATATTGAAATCCCTCTATACATGTGGAAGTTTTGGCTCCGGACAAGCATTTTCAATGACCTCTGAAAGTGTGACCTTGACCTTTGACCTAGAGACCTGGTTCATGTGCGCGACACTGCTCCTCATAGTGGTGAACATTTCTATGAAGTTTCATTAAAATCCCTCCATACATGTAGGAGATATGCTCCGGACAAAATTGGACGCCGCCCGCCCGCCCGCCAGGGGCGTTCCCATAATACGTCCCGTTTTTGAAACGGGCGTATAAAAAGAATAATTTTTAAATGCCTATATGAGAGAAATATGTTGGTACCTGTATATTTCCTTTTGAGCAAATTGCTTATGTGAAACATCATTATTAAATGGTTAAAAATACACTTTAAAAAAGTTATATATTTTGATCTGGAACATTTTACCTGTTTATGTACAATAATCATGTGTGTTAAATTACAGTGACTTTCTACAATACCATATTCTCTTGAGAATTTACCATAATTATGCGGGTTTTTTTTTTAAACATGTCTATTCATTACAGCAATGTATATGACACACTTGGTTTGATAGGTTCAGGTTTTTTTTGTTGTTTTTTTACAAGCTGTGTACATGTAACAAGCGGCAAACGTCTATGGTGATTTTAGAAATCAATTCTTACCATTTCCACCATTATCCTCCGCCATCGGGTTAATTTCCAACATGGTAGCATCATATTTGATAAACACATTGTTATACAGGTTCAAAAATGTGTCAGCTGCCTAAAACATTCAATAATCATCCATAGGTAATAACAAGTTCACTTTTCTCCTTAAAAAATAAGTTTTAAAACATCTCATGGAATCTGTATTTACTTAAAGGAACTTACTTTACATATATACATAAAAGATTCATCTAGCTAATGTAGAGTTGTTATTATAAGGTACCTGTAGGCCAAAAAGACAATCTCAAACAAATTCTTTTTGGGTCACCTAAAAACTTAAAATACACACTTTGTTGTAACTGATAAATCCAAAATGACCACCTCAAATTCAAAATGGACCGTCTCAAAAATTTCATTGACAAAACTTGCTTGTTATAGCAAATGTCCTCAATTCAAGATTATATAATTTGTATTTATATGTATATTCAATTACTCATTGAAGTATTGAAGTCATATAATACCACCTTCAAGAATAAATGATTTTCCTTTAGAGCTAGGATTTTTATCAGCTAAATACCAACGTTATAATGCATGAATAATCCTGAAGGAGAAATATATGACACACAAGGCAACATTTAGCATTACCTGATCTATACTGGAAGCATCAAAACTCATGTCAGCTGCAAGACTAACAGCCTGTTCTCGAGTCACACCTGTAGTTATATCTATAGGTTCCTTTATTATGGCTGTAGGGTTCTCTTTAGCTACCTCCTCAATATTCATACCACCTTGTGAACTACCAATCATAACTGGACCCTATAAAATATAGAAAAAGATGGAGTGAGAGATTTTTTTGTGACAGTATTCAATGACTAAGAATGTTGCTATACACCTGGCTATTTAAATGGTATGAAATCTTTTCTTTTGTAATCCTGAAAAAAAAAGACATTTAAACCAAAATTATTATTAATTATTAACTATATTTAAACTATTAACTATGATATAAATAAAAAGGTTGCTTGTATAAATAATCTAATCTTTAATGTCAGATTTTAGTAAAGCTACAGTATACATTAACCCTTCTTACATTAAAAGCTCTCTCCATGGCAATTGCGAAATAGAATTCTCTTCGGGCATACAATCTCTCTACAACCATCACAGTGTTACATATTCTACCAGCCTCGCCTGTCTGTTTTGTTACTAATTTATGTCCAATCATTTTACTTGCCAGACTTTCTGCTTCATCAGGCCTGAAATCATTTTTTTTAAAGTTATATATATCTTCATTATGGTGAATGTGAAGACGGGTGGTGGAAGACGAAGTAAAAACTCACCACATAATTCTTATCAGTGTTGTTTCATTTTCTGAGCGATAAGCATCATTTATTTTACATATTTTTTTTCTTACTGCTTTTCAGTTCTAAAGATGCCCTGGGTCAGCACTGTAAAGTTTACATGGCAAGACCTCAGGTGCCCCTTGATGCCTTATTCCAAGCACGAACGGGCACCTCAGGCCTTGATGAATTTTTCTAGGTTCATCCGCCCTGCTCACTAAGGCTCCAACGTTTGCAAATTTTTGTAAACGTGTACACGATTGCTAAGAACCGAAACGATACCGTTTAAACGGTGGTACTTCTATGTGCTATACATGTACTACACCAAATATTCAAGTCACAAAATGATGACTTCCTTTCTATTTTTAACACAAGTACAAATAATAATGTTCAGGGCTCATCATGATTGTGACGGCACACATTTTCTGCATTGTATCCTCATTTCGCTCTTTTGAAAGATCAAAGGAAAATCAACTTTACCAAAAATGTATTGTGTCACAAGCAATTATTGCATGGTGCTGTGTGGAGGGTTGTAAATACCTATTTTCCGTATTTTACTTTGAAATAAACCAATTACATTTGATAGAATTCATGATTACAGGCAATGATTAAGATATTTTGTAAGACAATATGGTCACTTCGATTAAACGGTAAAAATTTTCGTAAACGTTCACGACTTAAAATCGAAAGGAACCCGTTTAAACGTGTAACCGTGGGTGCCTTTCTGCTCACCCTGTGGGTGAGTGACCATACAAAATAACACGCCCGTCATAAAATGAAATTGCCCTGCATTTTAACAGACATAATTTGTTAAAATCAAAAATACAAGACTCAAATTTACTATTTACTGGTGTATATCTTTAAAATCAGCTTTACACAATTACATTTTGTTTATAATACTTTTCACTCTATTAATATGATCTTCGACATAGCATGAATACTTATTTCAAATTCTTTCAAAGTCTAACACACTCGGCTGAAATATCTACCACATGGCTCATTATAAAACATTACCAAACCTGTATGTATAAAACATTGCCAAATGCTGCTGTTGTCCAATCATTTCATCTTAAGCGTTGGGTAAAGTTTTATACTTAGTCATAAGGTCAATTTCCGGTTTTTGTTTGACAAAATTACGATTGAAATGGCGTCTGCAGTTTGATTCTTTAACTTCATTTATAAATGTTTAGGGAAACCTCGTTTGGATCAGAAAAACGTTGCTCTTCCTATCAGGCGAGTTTGATCAATTTTTTCCTGGTCCGACCCGAACTTTCAGTCGCAAATGCGTTGGCCAGTGGATTTGTTGAGGCCTGCACCTGAGCAGAACTACAGCCTTTCAATAAGCTGGCAAGACATCTCATTTCACTCCATGATGTAAAATTATCCAAATCACTGGCATTACAATTAAATGTGATTCAAAGTCAATGAGGATAACTGCTTGACTATCAAGGCCTAACTTTAATTGTAATGCATAAATAAAGTTTCAACAATAAAATCTTTCTTCCAGTCTGAATGCCTTCTATTTGCATGAATCTGTTGTTTACTCTTTATTATACAATGTACATACATTTTTGACAATATGGCATCTCAAATAGAAAATCAAATTGTTTGTACTTACGAGAAAGCTAGTTTTACACCACCTTTGAGACCACTGGAGAAAGTGCCTTTACCACGCCCTCCTGCTAAAACTTGTGCTTTAACAACAACATCTTGGTTTCCTGTCTCATTTACTGTAATAGTTATTATTAAGATATGCCATCTTTTGTATAATAAACATTATAACTTAATATATTTGTTACATGTACATTTGTATCTGTGGACTGTAAAATCATTGTTTCTGTTATGATTAAAATGAGTAAGGAATACCTAGAATGAAAGAAATCTGTCAGTCTATCTTACTAAAAGCGAGTGGTCATGCAGAACATCATTATTCATAGACAAACCTACTCAAAAAAGCAGCTGAATATTCTGTTCATAACTTAAGCACGTTTTTATTCTTTTTAACAGTTATTATCAAAAAATGTTTCATTCAATGTAATACTTCAAGTTATAGTCAAAACATTTCTCTTTTACAACATATTCAATGCAAATATTTCAACCATAATATGATTTAAAAGTATTTTTTCTTATTTATAATAACTGTATTATATACCTAAATCCTCGGCTATTCTCATGACTTCTCCAATGCTCTCTGTAACCCTGTACTTGGGCACCTTCACTCCTGCTTCTTTGAGAAGATCCCATGACAGATATTCATGGAGAGACAGGTTTCTCCTTTGTTGAGTTGTTTGTGCAACTGATAAAGACTGAAAAATTTAAATCATAATTTCATATAAATAATTATATATATATTAAATCTCACTTTCAATATCAATCTAAGCAAACCTATAATCTCATGTTATAGTTTCTGAATATATGAGCTGACTGTCATCAACAAAAACAATACTAAAGTGACTCATTGTAGATTATATCTGTCAAAGGGTGAAAAAAGTGTACAGTCTGAGCAGGACATGAACTTAGGACCCTCAAAATACCATTCTGCAACTCCAACAACTGAATTACCTGCTAATATACACAACTTCTCCAAAAAATACTGAACAATGATTGCAGCTAATTCACAGGGTAAAAAATGTGCAACCTGACAGGTACATGAACTCCAGCCCAGAACTTGGAATACCGTAGTCCAATATATCAGACGTTACGGGCTTGTTATAGTTTAATCTTTGCCCAGAAGCAAAAATATCTCAAAGCGACGTCATATGGGGAAGTCAAAGGCAGGGATTGCGAAGCGGGCACAGGTTTTGGCTTGCCTAGCTATAGATAACATGTGTATATTTGAAAGAAAATTAATTAAAAAGCAATAAAAGAATATTTGGAATTCTATACCATCAATAAAATTTTCAGTCAGTTCTAGTAAGGCGCCGCCATTTACAATGTAACTCAATGATAATAGGTGGGGTATTACGATAATGAACAATCGCAACTTTTCAGATTTATAAATAATAATCATCAAGTATTCCTAGTGAAAACAGAAGCAGTGCATGAAATATGCTTTTATCTCATCGATTCGTGACTCTTATTTGGAAAAATTGCACTTGCACAACAAATATCAGACATACATACAGTTCAATTAGTGCATTTGTTAAATAAATTCATTATCTAAATGTTCAAAAACTTTAAATTACTTTTAAAAACAACCGCTTAAAGATTAGAGCATCTGAACATGTCAACCATGACTGTCTTGCTCAGCTTGACGTTTACCCATCGATTCGTGAAATCCGATTCACCTTGTGACGTAATCAAAATATAGGTGCTCACAGCACTAAATGTTTGCATGGTTATTTTCAGTCCGATCTGATCAATATATGTTTCAAAGTCTTAAGTAAATTCTTACAGCATAATGAATATTTTTTTGGCTTAATTGTAAGTGTGTTTGATAAATTAAAACATCAATCGAATATTTTAAAGTAATTTAGGTCATCAGCAGATTGTAGGGTAAGCTCATTTACACCTGTTCAATTACGCATTTTGTTTGGATATAATTGTCAAATCGAGTGACTAATAAAACTTGTGTAGTTTTCAGATGGTGTATGTCCTTGCAGAAATATTTATACCAGACAATTATTTAGGTTACAAATCGATAAGAAGGCACAAATCGATGAGAATAAGGCATACCAAATGACACCTTTAAAACGGAGAAAAAAACCCTTTTTTTAACTGACTTCCCCATCTAACTTCATATTTACAGGACTACTGACAGGGATTATCAGATTCAGAGTGCTCACATGTTTTCTGACCTGATAACTAGTGATCAGTCGGAGCATATTAAAGTGACTAATGTAAGTATTCATTTAAGTCATGTATTTTTTTAATTTATCTTTATTTGACCATGTTTAGCCATTTTGTTTCACGATTACCTGACCCTGAAAATTTGTTGTTCAAAACACAACCAAACTTTTCAACTTTTTTGCTTCTAATTCTATCTAAATGATGTCAGACTGAAATACATTAAAAATGTACGAATTTTTGACGATATTCCAGTTAATTGCACTTAAATTTACCTTTACTGCATGCTTTAAAACAGAGTTTTGACACAGTCGTCCGCTGGAACGGAGCACTGCGGACGCCATGTTTACTTCTTTTTAGTCAGTGTAAGTTGGGCGCTCTTAAATATGGATTAATAAATGCGCTCAATGCCAAGGAAATTTAAAGGTCACGTGATATTTCAATGTCAATTAATAAAGGTGCTGATCCGTTTTTCACTCCAGTTAGGTACACGTTAAAGGAGTATCATCGTTTCATGAATTTATGTGAATTAGCACAGACGCTTGGGGTTTGGAGCTCAAAACGCCTTTAAAATCCAAATAAAATGCATATTTGTCAATCCCAGGACATGTACTGATCATATATATCAAAAAATCTTAATATATGCCGTTTTGAAAAAAAAATCATATTTCAACATCTATAAGTGTATTATTATAGATGTTGAAATATGATTTTTTTTCAAAACGGCATATATTAAGATTTTTTGATATATATGATCAGTACATGTCCTGGGATTGACAAATATGCATTTTATTTGGATTTTAAAGGCGTTTTGAGCTCCAAACCCCAAGCGTCTGTGTGAATTAGAAACACACCTATATAACAGTGATTTTTTTTTTCAATTTTCAAAACAACTTAATAGCGGAAAATATAATATAGCACGATATATAAATCAGAAAGGGGAAAATCAAATTCCAACAACTGAGACACATTTTATAAAATTTTCGATTTCAATTCAACTTAACATGCATGGAAACATAGCAGAGGCTATCTTTTCGGGCAGTTTTCTGTCCCCTAGCTGATATAAGTCAGCTGCTGTTAAATCATGGTTCCAGTGGAAATTTTAGGGGAAAATATTTGCATTTTTAGGGGAAAATATACATATTTTGGGCTAGGGGAAGCAGCCTTTATTCGTCTGTAAAATACAGGAAAAAAATCACTGCCTCAAATGTTCTTTTCACAAGGGGATAAAACATAATGGATGTAGAAAAAAACTGTTTTTAACTAGATTCTTATTAGAATCTATTTATTGATCTTCCCTGGCATATATATATTTTTTATGTTCCAGACTTTCCCTTTAAACAGGCTTAAATCTAAAAAGGTTAAACGGTGGACTCATGTGCTTTTTAGGTGCTGATTTTAATAACATATATAAGTGTACACAAAATTTCAGACTGGAGAAGTTTATAAATTGTATTGGATCTCTCATAAAAAAATGCTAACAAAAGGGGAGTTTCGAATGCATTTTGACGTACACGTCTTTTTTTTTTTGAAAACTAAATCATGACTTCTGATGCATTTTTGGGTACTCAGTATACGTTAAGCTACATTTGACATGCAACCTCGGATTGTTACGTCGTCTTGCAACGGTGTGGAAAAAACTAACCTTTCTACAGAACTTTCACTTCATACTTATATGAGTAAGTCCTACATAATCAGGATGTTTTTTGCAGGCATGTGAATTAAGGGCCTTCCCTTTGAATTAGGTAAAAAAATAGGCTTAACATGGTAATTAAAATGTATATTAATTGCGAAAGTGGAAGAGAATTATAAACTTGATAATTAAATTTCAGGGGAAAATTGTGTCATATTCCAGAGTTAAAATAAATAGATCTAGATAAATGTCAGATATTATAGATTAATATTATAACAATATTGTTAGAAAATGTATGTTTGGGAAAATATCATGCAAATCTCATTAAATTTGTTAATATAAGGAACTATAAAATATCTGTAGCAGGCCATTTTAAGGGTTAACTATTTTTGAGCGAATCAGTAGTGCGAATTGTCGAATATGATGAGTTATGTTTTTGTTTTCTTTCTTTCTTTTTTTGCCAATTTAAAAAGATTAACTTTGTCCCATGTATTTTATTGCATATAAAGTTCCAAGCGAAAAAAAGGACCTCATCTGATTGTATACAGTATCAGCAATTTGTGATATGACAGGGTTCCAGCAAGGAATTTCTAAAGACAAGCAACTCGAAATGTTGACATAAATTATATAGAAAGGTGGAGTCAATGTGAGTAAAATAAATGTGTTAAATAAAAAAATTAATAAATAAATTAATAAAAAAATAGATAACTTACCTCAAATTTTACATCAGATCACGCAGACCTTGCCGTCGCCTTAGTCAACATCGTCATCATCAGCAGCATTATCAAAACTATTTTGGCACCTGAGACTTAATTGATTACCATCATAATTGTCGCCGAAGTTGCTGATGTTGTTTTTTTCTTAATAATATCACTGTCGTTGCTGACGATGACAATTTTTTCACTGATGTAGTGAGCACATCGTTCAACAGTGTCATTATTAATTTCAATAATTTTCTATGTAAAGATTGACTTTACGGTTATTGTGGAAGTTTAGTGTGGGTTTTTCCCCCTACATTCATTTATTGTATGTTATAGGAACGCTATATTATGAATTTATTATACATTATTTAGTACAATACTGAATTTAATTGGACGAGAAGACAGATGTCAAACCTCAAACCTATTTTGGATGAGGCACAAGCTTTATACAGCTATTGTCGAGTCTAAAAGATTCAATTTTGTTCTCAAAAATGTATAATGACCTCTTTTTTATTAACACTACTATTTTTTTAAACTTTTAAACAGATCTTTTAACTTCATAGACAATAGGATTTGATATAAATTTTTGGATTATGTCTAAATTATTTTTTAGACCCAATTGGACAAAGGGAATTTTGAATTTATCCCATTTCCGACTTTATATTCAGATTTTCATCTGGATTAGGGAACGTTTGACTGCCTTATTTACTACTTGTGGCTTGAGGAATATAATTATATACCGTGTTGATAGTTATGCGACAAATGATAGAACAAAGGCAAAACTTTTTCATTTGGGTACTAGTTCAATCAAAAATAAGTAACGTACAGCTCATAATATTATAGGCATTTACAACTCTTGTATTTTATAATATACATGTAAAAGTATACCCTTCACTTAATAGAACAAACTGTATGCAGATGGTTTTGATTTTTATAATTCATATATCAATGTAATACATGAGCACATAAAATGATAAATAAAATTTGTACATGCTACAATAAAAAGGCTTAAAGAGCGTTTTAATTTATTTCACATAAATTTTACATACACTACCTATATACTAGAAGTAAAATTCAAAATGTCCATGCTGTATCTTTTCACCTTTATCCTGTGGGATTTTCCAAAAAAGACTGAATTTCTTAAAATCTTATCCAGTTTCCATTGCTGACACTGTCTTTTATCATATATTTTTTTTTTGGTTGGGTTTTACCTAACACCAAGGCAACAGTATAGGTCATATGGCGACTTTCCAGCTTTAACAGGAAAATAAAGGTGAAAAAAGTTGGGTCAGCTAAAAGTATAGAGCCTGGTATGTTTGTGCTGGCGTGCAGTGGCTCTATACTGGTAGCCAAGGCTTTAAACTTCTCAGTTCAAACAAATATAAGGATTAAAAATGCTAAAATACATGCATAATAATGTATCACAGAATGCTCTTTGTAATGAAAATGTTCCCATATACATTCAAACCTGTTTAAAGTTCATCTCTGAATAACAGTCAACATAAATGAATACATGAAATAATTCACTTGTAAGACCAGCATTTTGTTTACACCTATTACCAACAAGTTTGTTTCTTTTATGGGAAAAAAATCATATTGAGAAATAGCCTAAAAAAAGAAACTGGGCATTTTCCCCCCAATTTTTCCAATGGTTTTCGTAAGCAGTTCAGTCTTTATCATTTACTTTCACAAATGATAAGGAATGAAAATTTATACTTTAAAAAAAAACATATTTCAATTACATTTCACAACTATTTTTATCAGAAGCAATACATTTTTCACTCCTGTACTTTCAGAATAAGAAAAACAATGAAAAGAATTCATAATACCACATATATTTCTTACAAAAATAGAGGCTTAATAGAAAAGATCAGTAACACAAATGCTGTATATAATCTAAAGATTCTATAGAATATGTCATTCTTTCATCCAGTCACTTAAGGTTATCCTTGTACATAAATATTTGGTTTGTAGCTACAGAGAGTGTTCATTGATTTTAACTAATAAATGCAATAAGAGAGTGAATTTTTCTTTAAAATCCAGAACAAAAAATGTTTTGAAAACGTGTGTTAAGTTTTTAATGAGTAGGCCTTAACATATATATTTAGAAGTTTATCGGATACATTTTTTTCAGTTGGAGAGGACATAATTGTGTTTTAGACAGTAAGGTTTATTGTTGTATAAATGTTAACGTGATGTCATCTCTCGATATGATGATGTAAGGCAGAGATTCAGTTAGCTCATCGGTCCAACACTTTGAAGAAATATTCCACCTGAAAATATCAAACATAAAAACCAATTAGTGTTTTATCAAATACTAGTATTAGTTTAAACATATTTATTTTAGCTCGGTTGTGAAACATGTTCTTGCAACTTATATTTATCACTTATAAGTCCGCTTCCTGGAACAAACTAGTGCTGGTGTCATATGAAGAAACATGGTCGTGACCCGAGCAGGGCTTGAACCCATGATCCTTTGCTTGCATGGCAGACAATTTAACCACTAGACCACCACTCTCTTAAATACTAGTAATGAAAATATATTGAATACTCAATAATATATAAAATGAATAAATTAAATAATGAATAAATATAACCCCTCTTCAGTTAATGATGTCAAGCAAGTAAAGCTTGATCCTAAGATCCGTATGTTGAGAGGTATAGAACATAACCACATAGGCCACTGCTCCACTACAACCAATTTTCACTCTATATTCCTGACAGAGGTTAAGTTGGCTACATGTATCATCTTTTAAGAGTAACTTTTCAAAAAAAATTTTTTTACATGTATTAGAAATGACAGAGGAAGAACATATGGTTTTATTTCACAAGTAAAATAAACAAAATTTGAGCAACATTCCTGATACTGTAGCAAATCGCTCCAACAGTGATTGGCAGTGAACAAAGATTTTGGCCCTAGCTAAAAAACACAGTCAACATTTTTCTAGTTTCACAAGAGATTGACAAAGTAAAACCATGATATAATGAATCTGGATTAAATTACTAGTCCCTCAAGTTTAAATCAATAGTGACCATTATCAGTTGCTACTTATTTTATATCAAAGTTGTAAGGAATGTTGTCATATAAATTAAGGTGTCAGCATGTATACATCTGGAATGACACATGATAGAAAACCTAGCCTTTTCTCCATCAAAACATTTTTGAGAAAGATAAAATACCTTTTCTAAAGCATCTCCAAACCTTAAAACCAAACCAAATGGTATTTTCAAATGGCTTATAGCCTTATTATAGATAGAGTTGTAGAGAAGTATCTGAAAAAGCAATACTGCAGTAACTGTTTAACACATAAATTACTAGGAATTAGCCCAGTTTGTTTGTTTGATTTGGGTTTTACGTTACACCGACACAGTATAGGTCATTTGGCGATGTTCCAGCTTTACTGGTGGAGGAAGACCTTAGGTGCCCCTCCCTGCATTATTTCAGGCACGAACGGGCTCTTGAGTAGAATCACCGACGTCCCGTCAGCTAGCTGGAAATTAACCCTGTACTGCACTAAGGTGACAATTATTGTTTAAAAGCAATGTTAATGTACAAACCTCTAATAAACCATCTTCTGGTAGGTCAGTACAATGTACAGCATTCTTTACTTTATCCTGTCCAAACAAAGCTCTCAATGTTCTTGGTCGTAAATGACGAGCTATTTCCTGAAGAAATATGACAAAATTAGCTTTTTGCTGATATGTAAATTTTTGTTCATATATATATGCATTCTATCACACATAAACAAAATCTATACAGTGGATTTGTTAGACATGCTAAAAGCCATATCAAATTAGAGCTATTGCATCCCATACAAGGTATTCACTGGAAATTTCTAAATATTTAAGTGTTTATCATTTCACAATCATCTAGCTTAATAAATAACTTGGATCATACAATGTACAATACAAGATACAATGTATGCTAAATATTGATCATACTGAAGAACATTAAATAATCTTACTACAGTTTTTGATGACAATATTGGTGAAGAAGAAAAACAATATAATATGGTATATTCAACCTCTTCTATAAAGTAAATTAATTGCAAATGAATAAAAGCCCCTTTTTCTTGATTTGATAATATTTTCAAGTCATTTTGCCTTGCATTCAAGCAATCAAAAAATTTAATTTATCATCTTTTGAAACACGTTTTCACTATATTTATGAAGTCTTTATATAGGGAAAATTTGCAGACTGGACTGAAAAACTTTAAATTTGTGAATAAATTGTAGTCTGATATTAAACTCACTGGATCAGCAGGCCCGCTCATTTCTCTGAAGGCTGTTGGAGCATTCTGAGCCCTAACTTCAAGCGCAATACAAGGTCCTGATGTCAATTCCAACACCATAGAATTGTACTCTTGTACAACACCCTTATATACTTCATAAAACTCCTCGGCATTAGCTTTCTCCATATGGAACATTTCTATCGCAGACACTTCAAATCCTGCCTCCATGATAGCACTGATGATCTTACCTGCGTTACCTGCAAATATACAGTATATGTAGAAAATAATAATAATGAAGAATACATAGAGGATATTGAATGAAGTAGGTTTTATACTTAATTAGGCGAGCATAATATTGTTTGATTTAATGAGTTCAATAAATTCAGTATTGAATCTACACAAATATAATATTCTTTTAATCACATATATCAAAATAACAACATTTTACAGTTAAAAAGACTATTTTTCATTGACACCCCTATAGTGCAACGCTAACATTAGCGAGCTTTAATGGTGTTTGAATATAACTCAAATGAAGTAATGTCTGTGTTTTTACACTAGTGTTATATTGTTTTTATTTCATAGCTTTATTACACTCCTGCACCATAGTTTATGTGATAAATAGCCTATAACTGCTTAAACTACATAATAAACTTGTCCTATATTGAAAACTGAACCATTATATTTAAAATGTTTAATTTTCAACTGAACAAAGAGATGATTTCACAGAATCAAGTTGGAAATTTAGAAACATAAAATTTGGCAATTTACTTGTCTCACTTCTAATTGACAATTTTTGGTACATTAAGTTTGAAAATTAGAAATTTGTCAACATTGAAAACTTGCACAGTACAGGTAAGACGGCTCTGACAGCCTTGCTCTTTCCTTATAACAAGGCTATTCCCATTCTAAGACTTAAATTTTTTGAAAATAAAAGATAAGTATGAATATCATAGAAAAAAACAATAAAGATGATATTTCTTTTATATATATGACATACAATATTTTTTTTTCATAAACATAATGATAACAGCAGCAAAATCTGTGTGATGGACTTGCCCTGATTTGAATTTAAGACAGTCCATTTCAATTCTCAATTATCAAAAGTCAATAGCTTGGTCAGACTGCATGGACATGCTGGCTAGCATGGCTCTTAGTTCATACTGATTGCAGAGGCTGATTATTTTTGTAAGACAGCAGACACAATACATGGGCTGGCCTAGCTATGTACTGGTGGCAAAAGCTGATCAAGTTTGGGTCCTGTAGGTAAAGGGGTAACTACTAACCTCCTTGAACTGCATGTGGTTTTATTACACAGCACGTGCATTCTGAGCATTTGGCTGTATTTCTTCTCACTGGCCCGACAGATGGGAAGAAAAACTCTAATTCTCTTGCAGCTGACGCCACACCATCAGATCCGTGGCATGCATTTTCCGTGTTATCTTTGCCGAACCGGGAGCGCAGACTGGATGGTGCTACCTTCCTCGCCTCAGAACTGTCAGTAGGACCGATCATTTCCCGCCATTTACCAACAGCATCTACACCCATCAATTCAAATGCCAGGACTGGACCACTTGTCATAAAACTGATCAATTTACTGGAAAATAAACAGAAGTTTGAGTTGATAAAGAGTTAACTAGCCTATCATCATTATTTATATTATAACAAAATGGCTGTTAACTGTATAAACCAAGTTTGTTCACATAAAAAATGAGACTTAATTAAATGATTAAACCTCTCCTCCCCACAGACATATTTTAACTTGATGCCTTAGCTGAAATCTGTAAGAAAAACAGCAAAAGGCTTGTATAAAAAAAATTCTCAATTTAATTATTAATATCAGTTATACACATTGATTTCACTTACTCAAAGAAAACTTTTCCCTGGTGTTCCTGGTAAAATTCAAATGCCTCGTTCCTTGTCAACTGACACATCTTCATTTTGGTAACTTTGAATCCTGACTGGAATATTGTGTCTAAAATTTGACCAACTTTGTTCATAGCATCAGGCTTGATTATACCCAGTGTTCTGTAAAAGAAGATTTCAAATTTATAACTCTATCAATCGTCATAATCCTTAAGATTACCAATCCTTAAGATTACCATTTTCATCATTCTTTTCATCATTATTATTATTATCATCATCACCATCATCATCTGATTTAATTATCAAGGTTATGTTGGTGTGTTAAGATATTGTCGTGAATTATTCTTGCAGTTTGTAATTGTGTGGATCAAAAATGATTAGGACATTCCCCCTATAAAAAATTTAGCATTAAAAATTATCTTTGATTGCTCGCTCTCAAATATTTGAAATTTAAAAAACAACATCAGAGAATTGCACTACACCATATACATCACTGTAAGGACATCTGTCATAATGTTATGTCGGAAAATAGCTTATATAGCCAATGTTTATATGTTATATGTAACCAACTATAAATAAAGATTATCTTATCTATCTTATCTTACTAAGTACTCACATTAACTTTGAAAATCATGGAAAAACATGTCTTATGCTTAAAATTAACAAGAGCTGTCTTTAAGACAGCGTGTTTGACTATTCTCAGTGCTTGACAGTAAGAATAGAGGTATAACTCTATTAAAAGGTAATCACAAAGACTGAGTGTGTGAAATGTCCACCCATTTCCTTCATAAGTTTGGGAAGTACCAACTTGCATGCAAAACCTTAACCAAAGTGTGTCTGCAATGCAAACACCTAGGTAAGTACAATTATAGCTCTCCCTATTCTTCAAACACTTGAGCTTAAAACATGCAAATTGCAGGTCAACAAGAGTCAGATCACCAACACTAAATGCAAGAGATTAAGTGCAAGTAGTACTGAAATATACAAACCTTTCTTTTTGCTGTGAGAGACAGTTTCTGGTGAATTCATCTCCATAATCTACAAATGTTATCTGTCTAGAGAACAAATCTACTGTAGCTCCAACATACAAGTTCTCTAACTTTAGGCCATCCAATTTTGTCCTCTTTAAAAATATTCTATGATTTTTGATGTCAAACTGAAAGGGAAACCACCTCTATATTATAAGATAAAGTATATAATTCAAATTGCACTCAGAAAACTTTAGCTGAAAATTTAGGAAACTTCCATTTGTGATGCCTGGCTTTTAAACTCCTTAGTTGTACATAATTTTCATAATAATATATAAGAAAAACAACATAATTTTAATAGACATAAAACAGGTTTCTACATTTTATATTCATCAATGGACCTCATCATCTTTCGCCATAAATAATATAACTGTAGGATACTAGATGTTACACCACTTTAGTTTATTGATGCCATAGCAGAATCACTGTAGCGTATCATTGTTTAACAATTATCAAAGATGCTTGATATTTTCTCCAGTATAGACATGCTTTCAAAAGACTTTTTTCTTTGTTTTTTAAACCAGAAACATAATAATGACTCATAAATTGAGTGTTACAGGTAAAACCAAAACTAAGCCAAAGTAAGCCTGACTGCCCTGACATTTAATGATAACCTAAAAGTTGTAAAACTGAAGACTGCATTAACCCTAAGCCTACTGAATTTGTGTAATTACTTTCCTTCCTTTAATATCAACCCTGATATATCAATGATGAGCAAGTCAAGCAATTATATATAAGTAATTTAAAATAAGTAACAAAACAGGGGATGTAACAAATACTAACCATTTCAACAGAGTTATCCCTGCTGTAGAACATGAGTTGGTATGGTCTGACCAGCTGAGCAAACTGGTCATACCACTCCACAATAAAACAGTATCTTTGATCAGCCTGAAAATACAGAGAAATTTTTTTTTTAATAAGATTTTAATAAGCAAGGTAACTGTTAAAATATTTTTGACTGAAAATGCTGCAATCCGAGCCATCATCAGAAATAAAATTAATTCTCTGAAACTTAAGACACTAAGGCTCCAACGTTTACAATTTTTTGCAAAAGTTTACATGATTACTAAAAACTGATACGATATTGTTTAGACAGTGTACTATACTACAACCAGTATTTAATTTGCCAAATGATAACTAACTTTCTATCTTTAATTCTAACGCACATACAAAAATTATTACAAGATAATGTTCAGGGCTCATCGTGAGGGAGTCAGCACCAATTTTATACACATTTCGCTCTTTTGAAAAATCAACTTTACAAAAAAGGTATTTAATCAAGTCTTTTTTCCTTTTTTTGGCACATTACCGAAGTTTTTCTTTCAAAGACAAATACTATTATAAAGATGAAAAATCCTTGGGCACTGGCCAGAATTTGAAGCCTGGACCTACTGTATTGGTTTCAAGGCGGGTACTCAACCAAATTGTAAAAGGGTTACTGCAACAGCAAGGCTCTAGTTACTACACTTGATAACACTTCTACCCACATTATTTAGACAGGTAAACTTAGACAGTGACCATTAACAGCAATGCTCCTAATAACCTCCTTCTACATGTCATCACTGTCTAGGTCTCCAAGAGGAGTTTGACAAATGAAAGATAAATAGAATCTTAATTTTTTGATAGTTTTCAACATTTAAAAAAAATATGTGTATAACTAGAAATGAGTTAAAATACCCTCTCTGTTTTGGGTGGAATATCTCCTGTACCTGCATGCAGGAGTTGGAATTTTCATGATGTTTTTCCTTGTTTGGGTATATAATTTCAGGCTATTTTTTGCTGCACAATGCACAACGATTTAAATGATATAGGGACACTACTCATGTTGTTCATTAATACATATCATTTTGTGAAAAGCAAATCTTAATAGCGAGCTCGAAGAGCTGGCGCGATAAAGATAACGATAAAAACTGAGGAATTCTGACTGAAAACGGATGTGTAGACTGGTCACCCGCGCACGTCTATGGGAACCATAACAGGACAGGGAACCAGAATAACGGAAGCTGTGTATAAAATATTGAATGACAGTTTTAAAACGGAAAATGTAAAATGACAATTGAAAGGCGCCATTTTGTTTGAAAAATCTGATAAATAAAAACAATTTTTTGTCGAATTTTGTTGTGAAAACTATCTAGAATGAAAGAAAATGGTCTAACTAAGAAAATGAATCCGAACACCAATATCTTTTATTCAGTCGTTAACGCTGTACAGACGTAAGTATTGTTTACGTGACGTCACAATGTAGCGCCAAACAGCACGTGCAAAACAAACAAATCAAGTACGCTATTTTAATGTCGCAAACGTTTTAAGTTTTACATTTATTTCACTTTTGATAATCTTTATTTCGCTTGAAAAATTATAGAGTGAAATAAAATAAACAAAGTTTTATCAACTTTTCAAAACTCGTTATTCATTTAACGACAGGGGTAGAGCCATATTTACACGTACTGTGTGACGTCACACGCACTCGTCACTGCATTTGAAATAAAAATGAGCGATTATTTCATACGGGGAAGTCAAAGTCCGGGTCCGCGAAGCAGGCCCGGGCTTTGGCTTGCCCGGCTATAGACTACACGTGTATATTTAAAAGAAAATCAAATAAAAAAAACAATTAAAAAATATATAGAATTCTATACCTATCAATGAAATTTTCAGTGTCAGTTCTAGTTAGGCGCTGCCATTTACAATGTAACTCAATGATAAAAGGCGGTGTATTCCGATAACGGAACAAATCTCAACTTTTCGGATTAATAATAATCGTCGAGTGTTCCGAGTGAAAACGGAAGCGGGTATATATAATACCGAATGACACATTTAAAACGGAAAAAATGAAAGGATTTTTTACCGACTTCCCCGTTCATAGGCTTTGCCTAATTTCATATTACTATTTCACGTTAAAAGTACATCGAGCTCGCTTTGAGGCTTTGCCTTTTTCATATTAGGACATTGTTAAGTGTGTCCTAAATAATTCAATATTTTGTGTTTATTTGTAAACTTTTTACCCCACCCACGTATTATTTCCTACTGTATTACATTTACAGTAACGCATTATAATTTTGTTTAATAAAAAACCAAATCAGTTTGTAGGTAACAACTCATGCTTTTTTCAATACCGAATAAAACTAGGTAAAAAATGCAATACAAACCATTTCCAAAAGATGTTCACGCGCTGAAAATATCCAGTCTTATTATTCAAAATGTTGTTGTTGGTAACCAGCCACCTAACTGATTTTCTAACAACTATTTCTATTGGTTGATAAGGGAATGTTTATTTAACGATTATCTTAATTTTATGCGTCACACTACATGTTTCAATATTCTATCAAAGCATACAATGTACAATTCTTGACTAATTTACCGAGCTATTTAATTAATATGATAGATCAGGATTTTACACTTATCTTTAAACATTGATTAAAGTTAATGGGGGAGCCTTTAGCTTCTTTATAATTCATTTATTATTATGTAAGTTAGTGTAATAATTTTACAGTAAATGGACCCCATTGGACAAAAGCTTTTAGCTAAAATGGGCAATCCTAGGGTAACATAGAACACGTACACTCATTAATTAATCTTATAATTATTTTTGTTGCATTTATGTGTGCGTTTTTATATATATGCAAGTTGATATATGTGATAACATTGTATGTGTTTATGTCTATTCCCTGAATAAATCGATACGATCAGAGATTATTGGAATTTGTTAGTCTGTTGTCTGGGAAACTTTTAAGTAAGATTTAATTACATAAATCCATTGCATTCAAATTTGAGGTAAAACCTTCATTATATGGAACCAATAAACGATTTTAGACAAGAACACCTCGATTCAATCTGGAATGTACATGTAGCTGAGGCAAATTTTGCAAGTGGGAGTGATTGAAAGTCCAGGGACTCGTTTGCTTTCTTGCAGGTCTAGGCGTCAAGGATATAATTGTTTAGTCTGTGTTCTCACTGTACGTCTGTCTCAAACCTCAAGATTTTCATTGGTCAGTTTACATTCTGTCAATTTATGTGACAGTTTCTGTCCAATGAAATATATAGGTCTGAGAATTTCTTAATAACTTCAGACCCAGGACACATTCCAGATGGAGATTCAGAGTGGTGAAAATGAAAGCCCCAAAAAGCTCGAATGTAAACACAAGTCTATTAATGAACTACAAACGCAAATTTTATGTATATACATTTACACTGGTACCACGGGCACAATTAAATCTCAAAGACAAACATAATTAATAAATTTCAAGTAGGGTCTTTCAAAGACATCGGTTAAATACATTTCTCTTTAAAAATTATAAACCATGATTCTGGTACATATATAGATAAGATAAGATAAGCTCAGGAATAAAGACTGGGGTCTAAATAAAAGTTGTATCATAGTTTGGGGACCTTTCTGTTGAAAATGTGTCAGAGTTAAATCGAATACATTTATATACATGCACAGTGCGTTAACTTGAGTGCAAGTATCAGTTACCTGCACTCCAGAGTATGCCCATTGATTAGCTTAGGTTTACTTATTGTGACGGAACGACAGAAATATAATATTCAGATGCTCGTTCATTGGTTACTTTTTTCTTGGGTTTCATGTTGTGACAACAGGGAACGTGATTTTATGTTTGACTATGATACAAAAAGAAAGAACATTAAAAAAACTCGTCAATCTGATTAATACTCGGATTAATACTACATATCAGATAGCCTAAGCGCTCGTGTTTCGACTTAACGTATTTTGTAGCGTGCCGCAGTAGTAAAACTGGAGTCGCGATCTAAACATTTAAATATTACGGATTTTCCATTTCCAAATATGGAAACAGGAAATGCTTCCCAACTTCCGGTGTCTGGAGTTTTTCGACATTAATCACTGTCAAGCACGTATTTCCCGATTTCCTTTGAATTGAAACAAAGTCATCAAAGGAACATTTACTGAAACAACATTTACATTGACTGCTTCTTTGCTTATTCTATCCGCATGGTGCTTACGTCCCTTGGAAGGTTTGTATCAAGATTATTATTACTAATTAGTTTTTAATTGCTTTTCAAAACAATAATAATTTTGTTGATCTTTTTGCTGTATGAACAATGATGAACGAAATGCAAATTATTCCGATTGTGCTATGTTAATCACAAGTATTTGTATTTTAAATATGAGCTGTGCCCCATTCATTGAATATATTCTGTTTCTCTTGTATGCATACATGTAAGTTGCCTATCATGACCATAGTCAAAATACATTATAATATGAAATTAGGAAAGGCCTATGAACAGGGAAGTCAGTTATTTTTTCTGTTTTAAAGGTGTCATTCGGTATAACATGCACCGCTTCCGTTTTCACTCGGAATACTCAACGATTGTTCTTTATCCGAAAAGTTGCGATTGTCCGTTATCGGAATATCCTGCCTATTATCATTGAATTACATTGAAAATGGCGCTCATTGGTAGCTAAAAAGACTTCAGCAGACAGGTTTTATAGTACTACTAGACCTGTTTGCACAACGTCAAATAAAAAGCGACATATAAAGTTATGGAAGCCAGAACTAGCCCATCAGCATATTTAGCCAGCCCATTGACATCCCTTCATCCACTGCATGTATACCTCATCAGGCTCATGTTTGAACTTTGAGTGTCTTACATCTATGTAGATCAAACATTTCTCAAACTTTCTGGCACTATGATATAACTGTCAAAACTTTGTTTACTAATTGTGGACTTTAAGGCTGTGTATATTGCCAGCCAGGTGGTAATCTTATTCATGATTCACACCTGAAGATTGAATCAAGGAACTTTCAGCTAACAAATTACTGACCCATAATCACAAATACAGAAAAAATTTTGCTTGAACTGAATCTCACTTGTATGTGATTTGGAATGAATCTTGCATTATGCCAATTATGTAATGGTTTCAAAGGATATATAGTTAAAATTTATACCGGTATATATATTATAATAATGTTTAATGGTTTGCTCTTGTGCATTAGAATGGATCTTGGTTTGTACTATTTTGAACCTTGTGTTGTGAGGTCCTTTGTTTTGAATCTTATTAAAACCCTTTTTTTCCAAATACTAGTTCCAGATGAAGATGTTACTAAAATAACCCTTTAATATCAGATAGCTTTTTTTTTCCACACATCAACCGCTAGTTTTAACAGATTTTTTTTTTCAATTTAGATACTTTGGTACATTGTATGATCTTTAATATCAGGGTACATCATCTAAAAAGGAACAAATATTTTTGCAGATGACAAACAATACATCAAAGCTTAAATTATAATATGGTTATTTACAGATTTTTCAGTTAAAGGGAGATAACTCTTCAATCACATTACTAGATTTGTCAAAAATTAATAATATCCCTTTACTGATCGGATAGAATTACAAATGTATTTTGTTAATTTTAAATAGCACCTAATGCTGTGGTTAATAAAGAAGTAATAAGTATTGGTTGATATAATGATCAGCTACTTTGTATACACAGACAGGGAAGGTGCATAAGTTTCATGACTTTTATATATTTTCTTTTTTGAAATATGTGACAGCTGAACTGTACTCAGTTATGCAACCTATAGGGGTTTTATCATCATGCATTTGTTTTGTTAACAACAAACATTGACTAAATGATGTTTGGATGTGATTAGATGTTATTTTTCCTATTTTCCTATTCCCTGAATACTGCAGTATGCAGGGTTTACTGTCCAAGGGGCAGGACATGAAGTGGTTGCACACTTGGTTCAAGCGAGCGAATTGGTTGCAAACTTGACAAAATGGTGAACACGGCGTGATTTTTTGAAACGAGTGAACGAATTTTTGCCAGGCAAGTGGGTTTCTTTGTTATTTTGAAGTTCATTAGTATGTCTATTCCATAATGCAATATATATGCCACACTCGGTTAAAGGTTTCAGCATCCTAGATTCTGTTTTGACGAAGTTATTGAAGATATAAACTGATCATGTAGATATTTTTAAATTTGACATGTGATTGTTCTGGTCGGTTTTTCTTCTAATTTATTCGAATTTGTAAGTTTCGAACTGCATTTAACAATAACAAACTTTGTTACTGTCAATGATGTACAAATGGTTTAGTTCGCAAGTCCGAAGATAACGTTCAATACACAAAAATATCTTGTTCAAGCACATTTTGGTTGCAGACTTATACTTCAAGACTTTTGTGTTGCAAACTGTTGTGTCAATAATGTGGCATGCATATTTTAGCGAGGAATGACTAATCATTATTTTTAAATAATTAGCAATATTAAGGCAATTATACCCGTTCATTATAAGAAATATATATACAAATTGTGCATCCTCTTACAAGTTCAAACTGCTATGAAACTATAACAAATGCTTCAATACTAATCAAACTTGGCACAAATGTTGACTGGACCATTGCCTTTCTAACGACATGCTCAGTCTTAAATTTCCTGTTACCATGGCAACGAGGGGACATCTCAAAATTGCCAAAAATCACTTTTTTGCCTCGATTTTTTCCATCAAATTTTATTTCAAAGTGCTGCAACTTCTCAAGGGATTGAGATAGAGTCAAAGGCTTTTCAGCGTTGGTTACACGTTACCTTATGATCAACCTGGGCACATTTTAAGCCTCTCACAAGTCCAAAATTTTCTTGGCGATGAGGGGGACTCCGCCCCCCCCTTCAAACCCCCCAAAACATCCCCCTTCTGGCAACCCCCTGATGTATTATTTGGATGGGGGACGGCGCCGAAAAAATGGTCACTTTTTTTGACAACATTTCTCAAACGAAAAACAGTGTTTGGGGTCTAAATAGGACATTTTTTCACTGTTTGAGGCCTCAAAAAGGGGGGGGGGGGGGCAAAAAGCCGTCGAAACACGCTTATATAAGGGAAAAGGTTAAAGACATACATTGTATTTAGATACTGTGTGTTGTATTTTTAGCTCACCTGAGCATGCTCAGGGTGAGCTTTTAGGATCGATGATTGTCCGTCGTCCGTCCGTCCGTTCACATTTAGTTGTTAACACTCTAGCGGTCACATTTTTGCCTCAATCATCATCAAACTTGGTCAGGATGCTTATCTAGTTGATAGCTCGGATGAGTTCGAACATGGGTCATCTCGGATGAGAAACTAGGTCAGCAAAGAGCTAAAAATAGAAAAACCTTGTTAACACTCTAGAGGTCACATTTTTGCCTCAATCATCATCAAACTTGGTCAGGATGTTTGTCTAGGTGATAGCTCGGATGAGTTCGAACATGGGTCATCTCGGATGAAAAAGTAGGTCACCGGAGCTAAAAATAGAAAA